CCCTTGCCACCTACCCACTACTTTCCCCCTTTCCTTCTATCTCCTTTTACCTCGAGCTTCTTGTCTCCTTCTACGTTACATCAAAGAGTAAAACTGACCAAACAATTGGGGCTACAGCAGATTGAGATAGAGGGGGACTCCAAATTGGTAATTGGGTGGATGCGATCAAGGCAGCTGGGAATTTGGCAATATAGATAGCTGATAAGGAAAATACTTAGCATAACAAGGGAGGTGGGTGTTTGTTTCAAGTGGGTAAGGAGATCAGCAAATAGTTATGTTGATGCCTTAGCAAAACAAGGGACTGTAAGAGAGTGACTTTACTGGGCAGTGCTGTAATGTATGATGTCTATTGGATCAACCTCTTCTAATAGGGGTTGACTTCTGTATTTCAGTTTTAAATTATCTTTAATGAAGTTACCATTTCTGATATTAAAAAAAAAAAAAAAGTCATCTTTTCTTGGCTATGTTGTAAACTGACTTTCTTGGGGAGAATTATGATAGCTTATCTCGCCCTTCTCTGATTGTATTGTATATTTTCCTTTTTTTTATCAGCTGTATTGTACATTTTCTTTATTAACCTTTAATGATATTTCAGTTATAGATCCAAAAATAATAATAATGGTTTTTTCCTCCCTTTCTAGATAAGCTAGGAGCAAACAGGGTGTGATTCAAAATGTCAAACTATCTGAGCATCCATTATAGGTTCAACCATTTATGTAACAGGCAACTATGACTGACATAATAGAGTTTCATTATAGAATATCAACAGCAAAAAATAAACTCAATGGAAAGTAAGATCTATATACCTGAGTTTTAGTGTTAGAATGGATACCAAATTAAGTATTAATTCCCACTAAGAAAGAAATATTGAGGTTTGCAATGAATAAACGCAAAAGCTAAAAACTGAACTAAGAGACAATATAAACAGGAAATCAAGTTCATAGCCACAAAAAATACCTGCACAGCTGCTTGTATGTCTGATGTTCTAAGCTTTGCGTCACAGATAGCAGTGACAGCTTCACTAACAAATTTGCTTAGGTTGACACTACGCAACTCATCCATCATGCTTTCTCGCTGCTCTTCATTTATCTGCTTAAGCTTCTTAATAACTGCTGTATTGCGCTTGATACTAGAATCTAATGTCCTAAGAAAACCTGAGTCTGAAATGTAATTACATTTTATTTAGTTTCTGTATTTTGTATAAAAATAACCCATAAAGTTCCTACACAGAAAAACTTGGTGCTAAATTTGGTCAAATGCAGAAAACTGGTTTTTCAGGCTTTATATGATCAATTAACATTAAAAAAAAAAAAGAACGAAGAAATACAAGAGATGAGCAGATAAGTCAGTATGAGATATTCCACAAAAATTTTCCAGCATTTTTTAATAATGTCATAATATATTATAAGACTTTTAAAAACATTGAACCACATTAAAGGTCTTCTTGGATAATTTGCATAAAATAGGCCAAGCATTCAAAGCCCCTTTATCTCAGAATAGCAGTTTATATTCTGATTCTGAACCCAAACTCCAACATCTTCATTGTTTTAAAAAAAAAAAAACATGTGCAACTTTGGAAATTAAAGTACACATAACTCATCAAAAAAATCAAAGCATACATAAACTTTACAGCGAAAAGCTTTCAAAATCATAATTATGATAGAAAGAAAATCTAATGAATTGATATATTTCCAATATGCCAGTAAGGCAATAGCCTAACAACCAATTTATTGCATCTTTGTTACAAGAAACTATCAGTACCACGAGCACAATCAATTACAATGTTTACTAACCAGGCCTTTCAGGATTCAAATTACTCTGACGTAGAGCAATTTTTGCTTCCATTGACTTTTTAAATTCATCTAGACGAGCAGCAGTTTCCTGCAACATAAAATGGTATTTAACAGCAATACTACTTAAACATGACATCTGTGAAACTTGAAATGTGCTAGATAATGAACAAAATTCACTCAAGATGTTCATGTACAGAGAAAGGGATCATTGTTTTGATGCTTCATTGATTGCATACATAACGTATCTCTCAACTCTTTCCAAAACCATTTTTATATCTCTAATTAACCTTAATTCCCCACAAACCCAGTGAATCGAACTCGCTTAGGAAATTAAGACAATTTATGGCATTTTCTTGGTGCCAGCAAAAGAAACTGTTGTTATCTATAACTTAAGATTAAAGTGTGAACAAGGTAACCACGTTTGCAAATAAATAAATAGTAAAAAATAGTAATTAAATAAACGAGACTCACCTCGTCGTCCTGTTTACCATGGTGTTCACCCCCAACGCGACATTCATCTTCCGGATGATCCATCTCTCTAACAAGGAAAAGCAACCAAATCATCGACCAACGTAAAACAGACTCTATTTTGAAGGAATGGACGTGGAAATTTTCGAAAGAAAACCAGATTTGAAATTCTTAAAAGTTTAAAATAGAGTAATTCTGACTTAAATTAAGCTACATCATTCAAATGAAATTCAATTATACATCGATCGAAGGGCAAGAGTGCATCGAATAAAGCATACATTCTCGAGGAAAGAGGAACTAATCTCTTTAATTTCTCTAACAATTAAAATATGGAAATTTTGACAATGAACAAATGTTACAAGGTAAACGATTGGATAGGCATTTGGTGATGTACCTTGTGAATATTCTTCTTGCGCAAACCTTTTCTGAAGCTGATTAAGCAGATGGTCGGTCGTCCTTTGTCGCTGTCGTGAAAAAGACCGACGAGTCCCCGCCGTTTGATCCTCTCCGGCGTTCAAGCGTTTCCGTGTGCTTTAGTTTTGTAAATTGCCAATGTTCAGGCGTTGGATTCCACCGGATGAAATGGGAAAGTGAGAATTATAGTGCAGGTAGTTACTGGTTAGGGTTTGAACTGTGGAGAAATAAAAAGAAGAGTATATTAGAGAAAGAGCAAGAGGGGAGACCGGGAAGGACATTGCTTCCCGTGGGCTTAATGGGCCCATTGGCCCAGATAATTTTCTGGCTCGCCGAAGTTGCGAGTGGGGTTTAGACTTTGGACCGGACCTGAACCTCCATACCATCCACGGTAAACCAGCATTTTTTAAAAATCGTTGACCCGGGCGGTCAAACCATTTAATTCGGCAACCAGTCACCGAAAGGTTCCTTTTTCCACCTAACCCTTTCTAAAAAAAACATTGATTCATTTGGACCAGATGGTTTTGGGGTCAATTTTATATTTAATTAATTTTTTAATATTTATCGCAATATGTTGATTCATTTGGACCAGATAGGTGAACCGGTGGTCAAAATGATTCCATTTCTGATTCATTGTTTACAATTTTAACGAGATATTTTCATATGAAATCGGCCTCATGTGACTATTACTAAGGTTGTGTTTGGAAATGTTGTAAATATGTAAAGTGTAAAACGATCCATATAATTGCAAAGTTGGGTTAGTTTTGCATTGACAAATTTACCTTCTTACAAAACAGACTTTTAGCTGTAATGAATGCAAACACAAATTCAAATAAAACACATGCCTTTTTTATCAAAAGTCCACTTTAATGCAAATTTACTTCTTTTTTATTGATGCTTATTATCAATGTAAATATGCATTGGAAAATGTGTTTTGTGTCATTTGTCAATACATAAATATAATGTTTCCAAACAGAGGCAAAAGTGAACCATAGTGCAAATTTACCATGAACCGGGATTTACACTCCATTTGCATCATTTCCAAACGCAGCCTAACAGTTTGTACCTAAAATTAACAATAGTCAACTTTTTTTTGCAAGCCAACTAGTTATTTATTTATTTATAATGTTCTATTGTGTATAAAATTCTGTAATTTACTGCCTTTTCTTTTTTTTAGGCTCGATTTGAAAGGAGTACAAATTTGTAGAGTGCACAACCTTATATTTTGCATTATTTTGTATATATTTGCACAATACATATTTGCATTTTTACTCTTTCCAAACGCAGCCTTTTATATTTAACTAACATCATTGATTGATTGTTCGGCCACGGATGGTGAAGAAAATGGTTCTCTCACCACAAGGCCTATGCTAGGGTTTATCTTTATCCTGAGAAACCCTAGCAATGTATACTACGGCTGGACTATCTCTTTCAGCATCGGCAATTTCTGGGCTTCTATTCGATTGGAGCCGTCTAAACGTCTCATCATCCATTCTCACCCTATTCATGATCTCGTTCATTCAATTCAATTACTCATATAGTCATATGATACTATGGAGGGGTAAGCTTGCTAATGGATGGATGTTTGCAAATTTTTTTACAAATATTGCAAGTATACCAAGATTGATCTTAATGGTGGCAACGTTACGTTCTCGTATGATACCAACATTTTTCGCCAGATAGGGCTTTTTGATTCCATTATTATTGTTTGTGCTGCTTTAGGGGACTAGTAAATTTGTAGTGCAATTTTAGATGATGAAGATAGTAATATACATTCAAATATTATGTCTCAAAGACAAATATTGTGTATATTTTTTTGTATATTTTGCGTTTTTGTATTTCTTTAATTTTTATTATTTAATTATGACATAATAGCTTGACCCATTTAACACAAATGATTGAATGCTTACCTAATACCTAGAGAGAAGGACGATTTCATTTTTTGGTTCAATGTTGAAAAAAAAAACGAGATTTAAGGTCTGTTTGATTTGCGGACAGGACTGAGAGTAATTTTATTAGTATATTTATTATTTTCTTATTACTTTATTGATATTTTATGAATATATAATTATTATTTCATTAGTATTTAATAATTAATACCTTAGTATTTATTATTAATTTATTACATTTTATTATTACTTTCTTATTAGTTTATTAATTTTTATCAATTTGATTATTGTTTTAGAATTAATTTATTATTATTGAATAATTAATATGTTAGTATTTTATTATTACTTTAATTATATTATATATATTATTTGTACTTAATTATTGTTATTAGTTAATGAATAATATTTTAGCTTTTTATTGTTACTTTGTTTTTATTATTTTATTAGTATTTATCATTAATTTATGAATATTTTATTAAAATGTCATTATATTATTATTACTTTAATAATATTTTATTATTATATTTTATTAATAATTTTTATATTATTATATTATTATATTTTATTCTTATGTTCTTATTGGTTTATTGATATTTTATTATAGTATGATTATTTTATAAATATTTTACTATTATTATTATTATTATTATTATTATTATTGTTGTTGTTGTTGTTGTTGTTGTTGTTGTTGTTGTTGTTATTATTATTATTGTTATTATTATTATCTTATTATTACTTTCATTATATTTTATTGTTTAATTATATACTTATTTTTATTATTATTATTTTAATTATATTATATTATATTATTATTTTATTATTAATATATTATTACTATTAACTTATTAATTAGTTAATTAATTAATATTTTATTAACATTAAGGTTTGGGGCCTTTTGTCATGAGTTATTTATTTCTTGATATACTCTCGTATGGGAATCCCATTCCACCATATGGGCGTTAGTACCTTAATGAGAGGAATTTGAATGAGGTGAAAAATAATAGTTAAAATTACATATTTTGACTTCATAATTAAAAAGGAACTAAATTCAAATTTCATTTTTTTTTTATATTTTCATGTGGACAAAAGGATTTCTTATTTATGAAACTTGTTTTTATTTTATAAGATGAATATACAATTCTAAGAGATGCGCCCAAATGTTTTTTTGCAAAAATTATGTATTTTTCATATTTTTAAGTTTTTATTATTTAATTATGACATCAAATATTGACACATTTTGACCTAAGAGTTGAATTGTTGACCTGGATCAAATAGGAAATCAATTTCATATTTTTTTGTTGGTTTTGAATTTGTATTTCATTTCCATTATCAATAAAAACAATTATTGTTTATGACACTTATTTTTCTTTAATATGATTAATAAAATATTAGAGAAATGGCCCATTTTTTATACATTTTTTTTTATTTTTTAATATTTTTAATATTTTTAATATTTTATTATTAATTATGATATCATGGATTCACCCAATTAACTTACCCACCACTTTGATGGAAGAATAAATTTGTTTTTTTGCTAATTTAAAAAAAAAAGATAAATTGTTGAAACCTCCCATAAAGTTTATGACCATTGTTGAAATCTCCCCTGAAGTTTGGTAATTGCAATCGCCTCCCTTGAACATCCTCTAACAAGAGGCACACAAATGTCAAAAATACCCATGCAGGTACTATTGAGGCTGGTTTTTGCATAACAAACAATACAAACTTTATGAACAACAACAAAAAAAGAAGTTTAAATTGCAAATTTGAGGGATTCATATAAAGGGAACATTTATAAAATAATTCAATTTTGGAAAAGAGATTGGAAGGGTTTGGGGTAGTGATTGATATGAAGGGAAATTTTGGAAAATAAACATTTTATTCAAATTAACTATATGGTTATTTTGGACATTTTCATACCTCTTGTTTGATGATTATAAGAGAAGGGGTCTACTTGCAACTGTATTACAATGTTTAGAGGAGTTGATTGCAATTACCCAACTTTAGGGGAGGTTTTCAACATTTGTCAAAAACTTTAAGGGAGGTTTTAGAATTTTACCCCTTAAAAAACATGGGTTTCATATTGTTAAAAAGTATCTGATAAACATGGGTTTCAAATTAATTTTCAAAATATTTATATTTATACTATTAAAATTAATGTTGTGTCTTTACTCTGCAAAATTTAATGATGAAAAAATATATCTTAAATATAGAGTTTAATGAGAGAATATATCCAATTAGTTTTAAATTTTACATTCAATTTCCATCATTAATAAAAGCATTCCTTATTTATCATACTTATTATTTTTTAATATGTTAAATGTATGATGCTAAAATGTTTCCAATTATTTTTTATTTTTATATTTTTGCATTTTATCTATTTTTTATTTTTATTATTTAATTGTGACAACATGGATTAACCCATTTGACCCAAAATGGTTTAATTTCTTACCACCACCTAAATGGAAACACTATTTTTTCCTAGATAGAAAAGTACAAGTTTTTATGTTATTGGAATTATTAATTTATTATGTATGGATTTAATTAATATAACTTAATGATGAGAAGAAACAAAAATGTTTTAAATATATAATTTAATGAAGGTGAATGTAAGTTAATTCCTTAAATATTGGATTTAATGAGAGGTAATTGAATGCATTGAATATCTTAAAATTACATCTTTTCAACTCATTTAATATCAACAACTGATTACCCTATTTGCCCTCAATTTTTATCAATAAATTATTCTGGAGGCTATTCGTGCTTTTTAAAGTAGTATAGATGTTTGGAACCATGGCCATTTTTCAAAAAAATGGTGTCACGTCGGATCCACATAGGCGTTTCAACAAATGCCCATGTATCTCATTGTTTGGTTCAGCCGGTTATTGAAAAATCGGGCATGCCTTGAAATTTGGTGTTTCATGCATCGGCGAACCGATTCCCACAATGGTTGACTGATGTGTATCCTATGTGGTGCTTACCTGTCAGCACATACATGAAAAACGGTGATGAAAATCACCTTACCAAACAACATAGTGATGCTCACTGCCTACGTGGTAGAAGCGTTTTTTTGTGAAAAACGGGTATTGGAAGCATGGGCATTTTTTTTCTTGAAAATCAGTCCCAAAAAGCGCCCACGCTTCCAAACAACATGTTAGTAAGTGTTTGGCATTGATGCATTGCTTCATAGCCATTTTTTTGAGAAAACGGTGTTGCATCTATTGCACCGTTTTATGAGAAAATGGCTTCTTTTTTTTTTTTTGGTATTGATGCTGCCACATATGATGTTTTTTGGGGAAAGGCACGAGTTTTATTTGGCATCAATGCTCTATAATTGTCTTCAGCATTGGTTCACAT